TTTTTCCTGGGAAACACTTACCCGGGTAGGTACATTTACCCATGTTCTTTTATTTCTCATGAAAATAAGGCAATGACCATTTTAGCCATAAAAATCCATTATCAAAAGAGACATTTTTGTCCCATTCAAGTGTTGGCAACTTTCCCCCTAGGTGGGAAAGTTATTTACCCACCTAGGAGTAGGAAAATAAAATTTCCCTGGTCCCCACATAAATCTGAAAAAAGAACATGGGATGTTTTATCAATGGGAACCAAAATCCCATTGACCAACTTCCCCCCTCTCAAAATCCGAAAAAAGAACACCCCCTTAGAAGTTAGATCCAAAACTTAGCTCAACCATGTTTGGGGGAGCTGGGCCTCATAAATCTCATCATGTAATGAATGGAATAAAATGTGTTATTACCAACTAGGTACCTTGTTAAAAGGGTAAGATAGAATCAAGGAGGCAAGACTTCCAAATATATTTACACAACAGATAGCTGCATAATAATACAAAATATAGAGGCAAAACTTTCAAATCCTTTTCTCTTCTATTCAAGACCCCAACTTCTTGAATAGAAGAGGCAAGGATTTGGGATTGTTCATTTTTGTCAATGTTTGTATGGTTGATAAAGAAAATTAGATGGACTTGAAAGGCATTTGTCTCTTTTCAGATTCCACTTAATGGTTGGTTAACGATAGGTACTAAATTGGCACATTTTGAAAGTTTGGTATTGAATTGCCGTGTTTTAAAGTTTGGGGACCAAAGTGGCACTAGGCCCAAAGTTCAAGGTACTAATTGGGAATTTTCTCAAAAAACAATACAAATTTATGTAGAGAATAGGAAATTGACCACTTTCACTAAAGTGCAACTTAGATTGTGATTCGATAAACTAGAGATAACCCCAAAAAATAATACTTGAATGGAACTTAGATAGACACCATTTAATTGTAAATATCATAGAGCTCCATCTTTAATTTTGCATACAAATATTGTTTGTATATTGCATGGGTCATGACTAGTGTGATTTAAAGCTCAAAGGAGATGATGGTTCCTCTCAGTCGATTGTGAATGGAAAAGTCTCCCACCCGAGGCCATAGCCATAGGCACTACCTCCCATTCTTCATTTGATGAAATAACTTGAGCGTTTCACCAAGCGAGTAGAGAGATGTGTTAGGATGAAGGGCTCCTATTTATGGATTTCATGTTTATCGAATTAAGAAACTGTGAAAGAACTCTCTAACAAGGAAAGATGATGGTCTGCCATGGAAACAAAGAAAGAATTATAGATGGAGCAATCAGTGGAGCGAGATAACCATGTTGAAGTTATATATAATGCTTACCAACTTCTAGTTGGTGTAGGATTAGTAAAAATAAGGAAAAAACAAACAGAAAACAAATTTGATTCCAAATGCGTGTAGTATAGCCCATGGTTTTGAAAATTGGACCAGACCATATAGTTGGACCAATTGACTTGGGAACTAGTCAGGCAACCGGTTTCGTTTAACCCTAAAATCATTCTTGGGCCAAAACCGTTAATTTGGTTAGCAACCTACTGACCCGAGCGGATGAACCATCAACTTGGACAACAGCTTTTGGCCATTTTTATTTTAATTGTTTTTTAAATAATAACAGGTCGACCATTCAACCCAAGAACCGGTCTCCAAACACTTATGTGTCTAGTCCAGTTTTTAAAACCTTGAGTAGAGTCATTTTCTTGTAGCTCCCCATTGGATGGATATATCACAATAGGTGTCATGTTATACGTGTACAAATATTTAATAATAAATTATATGTTTCCAAAATTTTTTACAATTCTAGTCACTTATTTATCACACGTATTTTTGTTTAATATGATATATACAATATTAAAGATTTGCCCAAATGTCTTCTACAATTTTTTGTATTTTTGTACTTTTGTTTGTTTTCATCCCTTTTAATTTTTATTATTATTTAATTATGACATCAAGGATTTATAATTTAACAAAGTAAATCTGTTTTGGTTGATTTTAAATCTGTATTTTATTTCTATCATCAATAAAAACAATTATTCTATGGCACACTTGTTTTTTTAATATGGTCAATTGATATAAGAGTCAATAAAAATGGAATGGAAGGAAATTAAATGGGGAGAAACATAGTAGTTCAAATTACATTTTATGTCCTCACAATTGGAGAAACTAAATTCAAAAATATGGGTATTATAGTCAAGAACAATATTCAATGAATGTTAATGGGAGTTAATACCTTGAGGTTGTGTTTGGTTTGAAGGAAAAAGTAGGGAAAGGAAGGGAAAGGTAGGGAAACCTATACAAGACCTGTTAAGGTTTCCCTACCTTTCCCTACTTTTTCCTTCAAACCAAACATAGCCTAAATACAAGTCTTAATGAAAAGGATTTGAATGAAAAAAGTGGTTGTTCAAATTATATTTCTGTCCTTACCATGAGAAGGGATCAAATTTAAAAAAATTGGGTATTTTAGTCAAACAAAAAATTCCACACTTGTAATAGTAGTATAGATATAGATGGGGTCTTAAATTTTCTTTTCATAAATGTTGTATTTGTATTTGTACAAATACAAGGTTTTGCAATCTACATATTTGTATTTGTACTCCTTCCAAACTGAGCCAAAATTACAAATTTACCCCATGATAACTCATGATCAAGGGGTAAATTCCATCCAACAAAAATTCCAAAAAATGAGTTTCATTCACACTTTTATAAGTAGTATAGATATAGATATAAATAATGATCATTTTGTTATAATACCCCTCTAGACTGTAGTTAAGTGAGAGATTGGAGTGGCAGTGGGGTATATTACATAGTTTACACCACACTACTTAAGATGGTTGGCAAGGGTGGGGCGTTAATATTGGTTAATCTCGAACATCATAACACAACATTAAGGTTCAATTTGGAAAGAGTGCAAATGCAAATATGTAAAGTAAAAATATAAGGTTTATTAATATCCTATGCACAGTTTTATATTGACTATTGAGCATATTTGTATTTGCATTCATCCCATATTCGCACCGGAAAAAGTATAAATATAAATATGTATAATGTAAATACATATAAAATAATACAAAATATAAGATTTTACACTATAAATTTGTATGTGTACTCTTTTGAAACTGAGCCTGAGGTTGCATTTGTTTGTGATACAAACGCAGAATTGGGGTATTTATCCGGTTCAGATTTGTGAGTGGTTGTTTGAAATAAAAAAAAAATGCAACAATTAAGAGAAGAAAAATGTCTTTTTCTGTTGACATTGTAGTAAGGTGAGGAGAGTGCATTGTTGTACCTATTTTTTGAATCTCAAGTTGATCGAATGGGAGAGAGACCACCGTACAGCCTTTTGCATCAATTTAAAATAAATAAGAAGAGAACAAAAACGGGTTAGAATTGAGAAACCATTTTACATCTTTGAACAAAAAAAGGGTATTTATGCAAAGTACATATTTGCATTTATATCACAAACAAACGCAGCCTGAAGTGCAATATTTTTTGAGAAAATGCAGTGATTGCGTTTGGCATTGGATTTTCTTTGGGTGAGAAACCATAAACTGAAGTAGGAAATCATCCATCTGTTAGTTTTGGGGGGAGAGTTTTTTCCTTTCTTTTTTAATGGTAATTCTTGTACTGTTGAAATAGTAGCGGATTTTTCTAAATTCTCTTCGCTCCTACGCCGCTGGGCGACTGGACGTGGACTTATTGTCGAAGCCCATAAAATGTGGTGGTTTGCATATGTTGATAAGAAAGTCAAAGGAAATAATTAGGATTTTAAATAAGAAATGTTTTGATAGCTCAGTTGGTTAGAGCACCCGTTTAGTAAGCGGGAGGTCTTGAGTTCGAATCTCAATGAAAGCATATTTACGTATATTTTAATCGCCATTGCAAGAAGCAAATAGGGTGATGCTTAGTCGGTATCAATGGCTCAATGCAGACAGACAGATTTCTCAGAAATCGGTCACATTAGACCCACGTTAGCGATTAAAAAGCCCTGATGAATCTACTGTTTAGTTGGCTGATTTCTGAATAATCAATAATTCACTTAAAAACGATTATGAAAATCAGGCCTAAAAATAAAGAGGAATTGCCATTTTCGCTGCTTCCTCTTTCCGGTCGATCCGTGGCATCTGGTGTGGAAAAGGGAGATTGTTCCCATAACAAACTCATTGTTGATTACTTAGGAATGGTTCCAAATAAACAAATTCTCTGATTTTTGAGAACTCAGCGATCTCAGAAATTGGCGATTTCTAAGAAATCTCATCGAAGGGATCGCCGATAAAACCAAACATCACCTAGATCACAATTGTAAAAACCAGATAAGTTGTTTACAGCAGAGGCACGAGACCTTTCACAAAACAATAAATCATGTAACCCACGACCCAGGAAGAATGTTTAAAGTATTAATACATATTGCATTGTATCGTTCATATCAGTATTATATTCTTGGGCGCTACAAATGTTGGGTCCGACGACTATGATATTGAAAACCTCTATCTATAGCGCTACTGAATTTATTTAAGTAATCGATAATTATTTTTTATATATTAATTAAAATTTAGAACAACACTCTTTAACCTATCTGTTAATCGAATCCTCCTTACCCATTCTTATCTCCTTCGAGTTCCCTCTTCTGGTCCAACTTCTCCTTTTTGAAATCGTTAATCCACAATTGGGTTATGGATTTGACCTAAGTAAAAGATTTGGATTTGGTGAATACATACCCCAGAATTTATGCGAGTCAAAATAATGTTCCTCTCCTGTAACCTTATAAGTGGACGAGCAATTGGTTGATGCCTTGATGGTTGTCAGACAAATCTGGAACAATCTCATATTGAATTTTAATCACCTTTTCATTATCGACAACCTAATCATTTTATGCATATTGTTTCAAAATAATCTTGTCATCCTTATAGTACTTAACCTCAGCTAACATGCCAGCAATGCGTTTGGGATCCACCTCTGTATTTATTTTCCGCTGTAAGGCATCAATTCGATCCTCAAATTATTGCATTGTGTTTATAACAAGTGTTTCATCAAGATCAAATACCATGCCAAGACATCTAAGATTTAGCATGACAAGACAAGAATTGTAAAGCCCTGGTGCAACATTAAAACCCCAAAAACATAAATATTGTTCATCATTCTTCCTAGATAACATGGCTACCAAATGAAATTCCTCCTCTCCTAGTGGCATAACTGCAATCTGTAAACCAAAAATCAACAAACACAAGACATAGTAAGTGAAAGAAATGCTTTGAGAAGTTGAAAATAAGCACATACAGGGAAATAGTAATTGAGTTGTATTTTCAGAAGAATTGAATGTTAACAAAGAAGCTAAAACACTTGGTCAGTCAGTAAAAAGTAATTGAGTTGCATTTTCTTCTGGGTTGGATACATTTCTGAATTTGTTACAAGCTAGAGAGATTTTGATATTTTGTTTTGTTATGTTGGAGTTGGAGCTCTACCAAGAAAGACCATTATTACCAGTACGATGCTGCATTATACGAATTAGCAGTTATAGTAATGTGAACAGAAACTGATCTTACCCTCATGAACTCACTCCCCCCCCCCCAAAAAAAAAAAAAWATATACAGATTAATGAATCAAAACTAACTCAATCTCCAGTGCTACAATTCAGCTATTTCACCACCTCAGCAGTTGCCCACGGATATGTGCATTGTGGAACTCTTCTTCGATGACAGAATCCTACAGCAATTCCTCAAGAAATCTGGTTAATAACCAAAATGCCGAAAAATACACCTCTCATCACCTATAGACTACAGTTTATAGATGTGGCTGCAGGTGGTTAACAGAATAATAAGTACTTGAAGAGCTTAATTAATTAATTATTACCTTCCGCCAACGAAGGTTGTCTTGTCTCTTGAAGGCGACAATGGACTCGATTGCAGCTTGGGAAGCCATTTTCCATCGGCAATAAAGGTTGCCTCTCTCTCTGTAGCAGGACTCGGTTGCTTCTTGGCAATGAGGTTGGCATAACGCAAGGCATGGGTGTTGGAATTTGGGGAAAAATCAATGGGGGTTGGAATTTTGAGAGAAAGAGAAAAGGGGGAGGAGGGTGACGTTTAATGATGAAGACGTACGTCAACATCTTCCTTATCTTGAAATGAATTTCTTTTTTGAAATATAATTTAAATAGTTGTTTTTGAAACCGGTTACCTGGGATAACCCGTATTCACCGAAACAAAAAGCCAAATGTTGATTGATCCATATCATAGATTTTCCCATGTTAATAACCAACGAAAAAGCCTTTTGCTAAAAAAAGTAAAAAGTGTTCTAAGATCCGGGGATAAAAAAGGCATGTCATTCAGAATCACTGTTTTGAAAATTGGATCGGACCAGACAACTGTGCCAGTCAACTTGAAAAAAAAATAATAATGAATTGATCAAAGAACCGCTGATCCAGAAAATGGTGGTCAAAGTGATTGATTTCGTTCACATGTCAGTTTTCAAAACCATGGGAGTACCAATTAAGCTCAACTCTAACACCTTGGATGATAAAATGGATATCTATTAAGTCTGGAGTGATTGGATCATTCAAGGCCTTCATACATCGGGTTTTACACATAGCTTTTGTTCGTTTGTCAGTATCTTGTAGGACTAAGTTGGTCAATCGGGTGATTGGGTAATTGACCAACTTTCCAGTGTTCGAGTTGCTATAATGAATCCCATAGAAAATGAGTTTTTTGGAGTATCGGTTCCCCAAATAATTGATGCCTGGAGGGTGGGTACCCACCCACCTAACATTAATCATCTCCCACTTCTGTCTTTACCAAGGTAAGTCGAGTCAAAATGCAATGGCACAATGTACTCAGACAACTCTTGTAAGCACATTACTCGGATACCAAAAAAATTAGCAAGCAAAGGTGGAGCTAGGAAATTTTTATAAAAGGGGCCAAAACCTAAAGTGGAGGTGGGGGGATAGGGGTGTCAAATGTATTTGAAAATCAAATTTTGAATTCGAGATTTAACACAATCAAATTGAATTCAGATAATTCGAATATCTAACCCGTCAAATTCGGATATGACCTGATTACATGATTCAATTTGATAGATATCAGAATTCGACCGATTATTTAATTATTATATGTAAAATATAATATTTTTAAATGTTTTATATAATTTATATATATATATATATAATGATTAAATTATATAAATAATTTATATATTTATAGACTTTATATAAATAAAATATTTATTAATTATCTAAAATAATTAATTAATCAAATTCAAATCGAATCAAATATTTAAATATTTAATCGAATTCAAATTTAAATATTAACTTTCAATATCCATCGAATATCAAATCGAATTCAGATATTGATTTTTTTTAATTGAATTGAAATTTAGATATTGGCTGATCCAACTCGATTTCAATCCGTTTACACCCCAATGGGGGGCAATTGGAACTTGGAAAAGGGGAAAAATATACATGAAAAGAGTTTTCTGGGCAATAAGAGGGCCATGGCTCCCCTGGGTCCCCCAATCTCCGCCCCTGTGACCAAGGTCTTATTTGCGGTTTGGCATGGCAAGTATGGAAAAATGGAAAGTTGAAATTTTCTTTGGTTGATAATGTAGCATATTGCACAATATTGATGAATAATAACATAGAGGTTTTTCCAATTATATGTGGCCAAATGCAGAAATTATATTTTATATCACTGCCATATCCATGGTTACATTATGGGCATTATGCTCCAGCAACTTCTAACAACATTTTTTTTGCTTTGAAAATTGTGGGAGAGCTCCATGGTCTATTAGTCCATACAAGTGAAAGACTCCATACCTACTAAAAACAAGCAAGGAAAAGTGGAAAACAAAATCGAGTTTTTTAATCTGAAAGTGGGTTTGGTGGATATTTAAGAAAAATAAATAAACATTTTCCTGCAACTTTTTGTTTTTCTGAAAGTGGGTTTGGTTGATATTCTTTCCTCATCTATGTACAACCATGCTAAACAAAACTGACCATCAAGACAACTGTAATCAACAGGGATGCTCTTGAACAACTGTAAATCTGTAATCAAAGGCGGGAGATAAATATCAGACAATGACTTTGGCATCTAATAAATGAGATTCTATATATCATTTTGGCCCTTGGATTGGAGCATATAGCTTTTTTTGGGAGGGGACCTCCCCTTGATAAAATCATACTTTTCATTAAAAAAAGTAGATATATGGATTTCTCCCACATTTTGGATATGGTTTGCATGATACGAGGACAGTAATAATAATGTATTTCTATATATGACGTTGAATCTATTAAAATTTTATGGTAATAATCAATTTTCCTGGTTTTTATAATTATATTAGAAATAAGAATAAATACAAAATAACTATTCCAACAAGAAAATCACCAGTTTCATTCTTCCATACGACCTGAATCTTGGACTAATTATACTAGAAATAAAAGGATTTGTAAATTAAGACTTTTTTCTTTCATCAGTATTTAATGATTTAGTTAACAATAAAAATAAGGGAGAATGACAGATACCCCATGGCCAAATTTGTATGTTCAATGTTCAGTCAGGGTAGGTGTCAACTCGGAATTGATGCCAATTCACAGGCAGGCATAGGTGCATAGTGTGGGTATCAGACCATTTGAATGTTTATAGCCCTATAGGTGCATAGGTTCTCTGAATCTTGGACTAATTATACTAGAAATAAAAGGATTTCTAAATTAAGACTTTTTTCTTTCATCAGTATTTAATGATTTAGTTAACAATAAAAATAAGAGAGAATGACCGATACCCCGTGTCAGAATTTGTAGGTTCAATGTACAGTCAGGGTAGGTGCCAACTCAGAATTGTTGCCAATTCAAAGGCGGGCATAGGCGCATAGTGTGGGTATCGGTCCATTTGAATGTTTATAGCCCTATAGTGTAAAAATAACATCTAAGTATTTTTTTTTTTGTTGTTGATTGCACATGAAATTCTAGTTGATGCTTCAATTTTGATGTTGACTTCATCGAAAATATCTACAAATAGAATTATAATGAGAAGGCACCATTAGAGTACATGTTACTTGTATATAAAGTTTGTTTGTTATTTAAGAATTAGATTTATTGTTACTTGTATATTTTTAAGATTTATTTCAAATCTCCAGAGTTTATATCTTAATATCTTTTCAAGTATTATTCACAGTAAAGTTGAATGTTTTATGATTTACAACTTCAATTGGGTGGATTACTACTTTACCGAGGCTCTAAGTTTGGGAAATTACAAATACAAATATGTTCGGTTAAAAAATCAGGTATAGAAATACAACATAAAAGATTTTTCACCGTAAATATTTGTATTTGTCCTCTCCACAAACTAAGCTTTCCTGAAAGGCAAGAGCATACCCATTAATTTCGCAACTCTTATTCAACTCCCATGTAGTAATTTACCTTGAACTAAAGAAAACCTTTGTTACTTTTATTCTATGAAAATTTGAACGAGTGCCTACTTAAAAGAGCCATACTTTTTCTCTACCTTTTCCTGCTTTTTCCTTCAAACCAATAAAAGTACCCCCAACACCTTTTCATATAAAAAAAAAACAAATTTGACAAAATAGAGCAAAATAGAGTGATTGCTCGTGTTAATAGGTGCAGAAAATGACATTTTCAATTTTATTGTTTAATTAAATTTATTTGAATGGAAGTTAGGACCAAATCTATCCTTTTTGGGCATTCATCTAATGGAAGGCCAATTAAGTAAACTGATTGCAATCTTTGGGAAATGTTTTTGTACAACACAGGCCCTTTATATCATTTAATTTGCAATTGACTAAACAGTCCACAAATCCTTGCAGAATTCTATACAAACATATCACAATTGCATCAGCTTTTATAAAGATAGCTTCAAAAATTGAATGTTTCGGCTAATTAGGGGAAGAAGAAAATAACTGAATTATAATGGTGCAATTTGAGTGGAACTATTCTGAGCCCAAACCGACCCAATCCAAAAATTTACACAGATCCTAGGGTTGGGCTCAGGCTCAAGAAGTCAGCTGGACTTGAATAGCCCAAGCCCAGTCCAATTATACACACTAATGCATATGTTTATATACATAACTTTTGTATACACATTTACATATATACAATACATAAAGTTTGTATACACATTTACTTGTGTTCATACATATTTATCTTTATATATACTCGTATGTATACATTTTACATAAATGCAGCCCGGGCCCAAGCCCACCCCGAGTGCCTTAATCCCATATTTTGGGGTCAGGCCTGGGTTGACCGACCCCACACGCCTAACTTGCACCCCAACTGGATCATAATGCTCAACCATCAAGGATTAAAATAGGTTATTCCACAACCCAGAAGGGGTAAATAGTAGTAGCCTGCAGAAATCCGTGACGAGAAATGTCAAGAGGGAAAAACATCGTCTTAATGGTCAAGGCCGGTGGGTAGCTTATTGTGTTTCTGTTACCCACCAGAATACGCTCAACCCCGGCATTATGGGAAATCGCCAGAACTTAATGGCAACAATTCTACAAATAGTTCACCGCAACAAAACCCATAATGAAATCTGCATACCAAACGGCAACAAAAATCAGAACCACCCTTGTTCAATGTACCACAGTAGAAAAAAGAGAAAAAAGAGACGAATAGACTACACTCCACGTCAGAAATCTAACATTGCAGCCCCCTCCTACTCTATTAGTAACCCCCTATAAACCGCATCCTGCCTATGGATTTAGCATTGATCCACGATCAGGATTCATCCCACCTGTACAATAAAAGGCTAAGATTTGTAGGGGTGGACTGAACAATACAAACCGAGAAAGAAAACACGGGTTTAAAACAAGAAACTACAGAACCACAAAAGCCTGCCAACGCCCAAAAAACCAGCAGCCTCTCCCCTCAAAACAAACAATCAACCAAAACGACAGAATATGTTGCATACTCTGTAACTAAAAACCAGAATCTGCAGTTGTTTCGAACACCCATCTCTCAATGGGAATGCCAAAACCATAGCACGGTAAGAATACAAGTTCGGTACAGCTAATATGTGCATCAAAAGAAAGACGAGCAAAATAAATTCCAGTCCGAGACTACATACAAGGAAAAGACCACAAGCGTTGATAGTTGGTTAGCATCACAGATCAAGCACACCCTAAAGCACAAAAATTTTTGCACAAACTACCGTTGCCATTTCTTGATTCCTACACCGGTATCCTGGATTGAATTCCTGGATACCACCCCAAAACCAGGAATTAGATTTCTCCAGTAAAGGTTAGCCACACTCGAATAGACCATGAAGCATCAAGAATAACTTCACAGGCATAGCCACAGATAAAAAAAAAGGTTGAATGACCTCTGAATTGGAATAGTACAGCTATATATAAGCATGTCAGCAAAAAAAATAACTAATTGGATGTAACAATGTCAATAATACATTGCTTGCCCATGAAAATAGATCAAAGCCTTGTGCATATGGCATCAAGACCATTAAAAAATCAATGCCACAAGGCATTGACTGATGTTGACTGGTAACTACGTAAAATCAACAACTGGAGAGCATGATGAAACAAGAAAAAGCAAACCCATATGCAACGAAGAATAAACAGACTGCAATAATGAAAAGCCAATGTTCACCTTTCAAGGTGGAATTAGTTCTTCATGTACAAAGACTAACATCATAGCAAACTCCTACCTGTTCATGATTGCAGTAATACTAGCTTTCAATAAAGGACTGACAATTACAAGACGACTGACTTGACTACCAAAAGACCAACCTTGCCAGATGTAAGATGTGAGAAAGTTTAATCCTCGAGTCTTTACCAGAAAGACCAACCATATGAACATTTGGGATGAGAGCAAGCTCACAACCCCAACTATACACTTCTAAAGCATCCAACTGTAAGTATCATGGATAGAAAGACTGACGGTACTGAGATGGCAACCCGTAGCCACCAAATCCAGTGGACCTGTCATAAAGACCAGAGGCTGGGCGGGACTCAGAAACGTATGGGTAAGATGATCTAGTTGGACTAAGGTTAGCACCAAAACTTGAGTTTCCTGCCAACCCATATAATCCACCTGTTGAACTCATATATGGTGTAACAGTAGAAGGGCTTGCCAAGCCATATGGCCCAGCTGTTGAACTTAAATATGGAGTAAACCTATCCTGCAATAAACTAGGCTGTTGCAGTTGGGCTTGTTGGATTGAGGGAACAGAAGTAGCTGCAGCAAGAGTCCTTGGAGGAGCTGGTACAGCAGGCCGAGGACGTTTGTTCCCTGTCTGCTGCTGTTGCGATTGAGGCTTTTGTGCAGGAGTTGCTGCCGGGCGTTTCCTGTCAGATTTCTGCTTCTCCATCTGTTCAATACGCTTGTCAAGGCTCTCTCGAGGGTACTCGGATTCAAGCTTGTGATCCTCAATGTATTTAATTACTGCTTTCAAGGCAGCAATTTCTTTGGCGGAGGCCTCATTCTGTAGGGAATTGTATATATAAAAAGATATGTAATGGCCTTCAAGGTCAAAATCTATCCCGACAAACAGAAAAGAATAAATTTACCTGTGCCTGAATAGAATCGTTTCCTTTCTTTCGTATCTCTTGTGCAACCTTCTTGGATGCCTTAACATGGGCTTTAAGTAAGGGTACAGGTGGGAACTTGTCAACGAGCTCAAATGCAAAAACAAATTTTACAGCCTCAAGATGCTTCCCATTATTTTTTAGTTTCTCAATAAAATCTGCAATGAAGTAAGAAAATAACCGCAAGGTTCCATCAGTCTGCCCTCAAGGAACAGAAAACAACCAACAATTAGACTTGATGTAAATTACTAAAGGAGATAAGTTCTGCCTAGTGAAGTATCCAATTTTACTGGAACAAAAAGGACATCAAAGAAGAACAAATAAATGCCTGTCATCATAGAAAACAGAATTTGCAAAGGCAATAATAAGTGGCAAATTTACTACACTACACTAATATCCATTAAAGCACAAAATAAAAGCAAGATAGCTATAGAATAAAAAAGAGACAACAAAATGCATAAAGTGCTATAGATAATTGATGAGGCAGAATAGACCTCAGAAATGTAAAAATAAAAGCAAGGCATAGTAAGCCATTCAATCCTCAAATATGGTTATGGAACTGATACCCCATCCATAAGAGACAAATTCAAAGTCACAAAGGACATAAATATATAAATATGCAGGTTATAGTGGTCAAAGGATCGACACAGAATTGGATTAAGTATGGGTGCTCCATGGGAATGCAAGAACATAGGAACGAACAGAAACCACAGTACTGCCTCAATAATAGGTTCAGTAAAACTGTAGAATAAAGTGGATACAAGAGCAAAGGTAAATAGACAAGAATCCAAATGAGAACTTCAAGGAACCATTTAGTCTAAAATGTATCCTATAAAGTAATACCATAAAAAACAATAAGAGACTACATTTTCATTGCCAAGAGGTACTTTTGGCAAACATACTCAATTATGCAACAATATAGCACATCAATAGAGGAATTCCAAAAAACTGAAGACTTTCTATGTTTCTATGCCCTTCTATGGCATTAACTACTGAAAATACGAAATCAGTTAAAAACTGACTTGCGTTTATAAATACAGGTGATTGCACCCATTGAGAAAATATATATAATAGGAGAGACTCCTCCATCAAATATCATAAAAATCAAAAGACAGACTCATGAAATGCTTATGAAGCTTGGACTTAAACAACATGTAAAGAAGGATTAGGCATGTCTATCATGCAAATAACACTAACAGCTTATTAAAAACCAAAACGAAAGACATTCTTAGGTCAGGACAAAGCCCACACACTTTCCAACTAAACTCAGCCATAATCCCAACCATGTAGGATCGTCTATATGACTCATGCTCTGTCACTCTGCTCTATCAAGAACCTCGACCAGCATTCTGAATCAAATATATGAATAGAATCTTGACAAAGTAGAAAGAACCTTGTCTATACATGACTGGCGCTGACCAATCAAGCCCGATGCATTGCAAATGCAAATAAGATGAATATTAGAAAGACAAAAAGACATATGAAACCTGTAACAAAGAACTGCAACCAATGCACATTATGATATTCTGAGAAAACGACAACAGAAAACTACAGAACTGACAGGGAAGCCAAGAGGAGGGTTGAATATATGGCCCTGCAGCAATTAGATGTAATAATTGCAGAGATTATTCCCAATTAGCTTTAACAGGAACATGATCAGTCCAAATGACAGAACTCCAAAGCTCTTCATAGAAGAAGAGAAGGAGCAATCAAGAGCCCATATCAGACTCTAAAGGCTGATGGAAAGAACAGAATGCCAAAAAGTAGAGGAATGAAGCACAATGAGAAAGCCCATGGAATCATGGACACATGTGAAGTTTAGAAGTTACATTATAATTAAATTAGAATAGCATTCAAGAAACAGAGAGAGGGCAATCGCTCTGACCACTCCCATTTTGACCAAAGCAATCCCAGAAAAAGAACACATGAAAAAGATATCATAAAACAACATAAGAGTAACTCAAAACAATGATACTGCACTTTGAAGGCAATATCCAAAAACCATAATAGGGGTATCGAATTAAAAAAATTACAAAATCAAGAGAATTTTCACTGTACAATGAACGGGGAGTAGTTTGTAGTTTGTATAATAACCATGAGAAACCACAATGCTGTTTCTCCAGGTGTAGATTGCCTCAAACAACACTATTTTTGGCGAACACACAGTAAGAACTGAAACTTAAAAAGAAGATGAAGTACAACAACAAATTGATGTACAGATTAAGGATGTGAATAGTATAAGAGGCAAAGTTCAATAGGAAAACTTGCAGTACAACAAACTATCTACGAACAAAATATCAAAAGATCAAATAATCAATACAATTTAACCACTCTTATTATGGATCATGATAATCATCTATGCAAGGCTCCTTTGGCAGTGGGCATCCGTGCAATGAGATGATGGGAATTTTTCCTAGACATCTAACCACTACGCGAGGGGAAAACCACAACGGAAATTAGGCAGTCAAAAAGAAAAAGTGACAATACATGCCGTCCACTTGTAACAGCTGTAGACAAAAAAAAAAAGGATCTCTTCGATTTAAAAGAACCATCCATGAAAGATGCATGGAGCACTGAAACGTTACACCAGAAAAAAAAAAGGATGAAAAATCATCAAGCATGAATTACAAAATATGATGACAAAGTCCTTAAAACAATGCAATCCAGTAAAATTGAGAGAAGTTTCCAGAGACATACCAGGAATCTTATCTGAGAAACCAATCGCCCGACACAAATCAACAGCCTGTCTGCGCCGAGCAACCGTGGCAACAAGATCTAAAAGCTCGTCTGCATTAAATGCAGAACCTAACCCATACGTAGCTAAAAGCTGCAAAAACCCTAAGGCCTCTAATGGATTTTCACCCCCCTTGCTAACCTTCCCTTTCCATTCATGAGCTAAATTCTTTGCCTTTTCCTTCACATGAGGCCTAATTTCGGGGCTTATCGCCGCCGACTGCTCCAGCAGAAGAATACAGGTTCTTCTGATAGAAGCCAACTCACCATCCTTGTCTCCCTTCGAATTCGGAGGGAAGAATCCTTGCATTGCGTCCAGAACTAACGTCGCCGGATCTGACGCAGTACGAAGAGCACCGGCAAGTTCGTCCTTAACGAACGGAAGCTCCTTGCGATGCTCTATTATATAAGACCGCAATCCCATTCCGTCCATGCTGACGCAAAGAGATTTGAGCTCCGGACGAGGACTACGTTCAGGCTCATCTGGTTTTTTCGCCGGCAGGTGCGGCGAAGGTTTATCGGCGGATTTGTCTTTCTCCGGCGGAGACTGTTTTGGCGCCGATCCCTTGGCAGAGACTTGGGCTTCTTTCGCTTCGAGCTCCTTGAATCGATGCTCTAGAGATTTTTGGATGGAGTCAAAGTGATCCTCCAGATCCTTCCACTGAAGGGTGAAGGAGGCAAGCGAAGATGAATGCGACTGGAGATCTTCGAAGGCTTTACGAAGGCTCTCCTTTTTCGCATCCACGGATTTCAGAGAAGCAGAAATCGCCTTAGTTGAAGACATCCTGCATAAAAACCCCAGAACAACTGAACAGAGCCGGGGGTTAGGGGGGAGAAGGGAAAAATACTCCGCAACGCCTACCTATTTCAAGGCCTAGAGCTCAACAACCAGAAAATCTAAGAACAAGACAAACCCTAAAACCGATACATGCGAAGGATAAAATCCGATCCTGAAGAACCCTAACCCTAACCCTAATTTCTTCTACGTAGAAGATAAATCATTGGCCTTGCAAATTGCAATAGAAAACATAGCAGGCAACAACGAAGTGAGATGGACCCCTTTTATATAGGGATTAGGGACTGGAGATCTTTTCTGGTGCGTTCGATGCATATCGAGCGGTGAAAGATCGATTGTATAGAAAGGGTCGTTTGGCAAGTCTTTTTGAGAATATATTTTCGTAGTTCTCACGGTCAATAGTGTTTTCGGTCTTTCGTTTCGGGTATTTCCGTGTAAGATTAAAACGTGAAGGACGCGAAAGAAGTTTCATTTGGAGTTTCCTGAAATCAGCCCAAAATGAACTTTGTACGTTTTTTCGGCGTCATGTTTTTTGGCGACTAGATCTTTCTCGTATGCCAAACGAGATTAGACCAATTTTTTTGTCTTCCCAGCTTGTAAACAATCGAAAGACCTGGTGAAAACATGCACCAAGTGAAGGTTGGGGAGAGAGATTTGAATTTTGGCATTTTGCCGAGTAATTAGTAGTAATTACACATTCATATACTGACCCCGAACGTTGCCTTTAGACATATTCAAGGCCTTATCTTTGTCTATCAAGTATCAACATAGCACTTTCAGGCCTGAGCCCAAACCTGGTCCGAAGTCTGGACCTGAGCCCAAGTTCAGTAAGAAATTTTTAAATATATTTTTTTATTTAATAAAAAACATTTTATTTATATTAAAAAGTCCTCAAAACCTTAAAATAATAAAATATCTCATTATTATTATTTAAAATAGGAGAAGAGGAGCTGACGAGGGGAAATTTAGTCCTCCGAATGACATTACGACATGTGGCATTCGAGAAGACACCTCGGCGCTGAATAAGCAGATAACTTCGACAAGTCGGCTCATAGCACCTCGCATAGGCTAACCTGGAATACCTCGGCTTGGCCGAGGTAATAGGACTTTGAACTAGGGACGACCTACTCCCAAACTGGTCAAGCTACGAGAAGTATCACAGGCGACCTACAAGGCATGCTCGTTGACTTGTCACATAGATCCGTTGCCAGTCCGGGATCTCTGGAGCATTGATGAGTCGACTGTTAGGCTGGCCTACCCACATGGCATGCACCTGAATTAATCAGACGGAGCTCAACCCCCACACAAATTACGTAATTGGTGTCATTATTCTCCCAACTCAACGGACGGCTCTGTGAGAATATGAGACCCGTTGCAAGAGGTCTCTGATCACTCACATCTATATAAAGGGCTCATTTCTACCTGAAGAGTTATGCGCAATTAAGCCCTCGCACTCTCTAGATCTTGAAGAACTCATAAAAACATCTCGCTGACTTAGGCATTGGAGTGCCCACCCCAGGTATAAATAACCCAGGCACTCTAACTCTACCACTTCCACCGTGACATCAGTCACGATGCAAAGAACTGTAGGAACCTTAAGGACGAGATCAAGAAATTGATCCACCGCGGATATCTCAGATAGTTCGTCAAGGGAGAAGAAGAAGACCGACCTGCCGAACAACGCAAGGAGGCACCCCAAACTAGCAGGGAGCAAGAAAGAGACCCAGCTCCCCGAAATCAATAGCCACTAAAGCGACCCATCCGGTGAATTATTAATATGATAATCAGGGGATCAATAATAGCAGGATGTACCACCTCGACAGAAAGAACCTCAGTCCGAGACCTCGAGCATGACAGCAATAATCCGCCGAAGCACCCTAGAAGAGAAGAAGTAATATATTTCACTAAAGATGACATGCGCGGTATATAGTATCCGCATGACGACGCTTTAGTTGTGAAATTGACAATCAATGACTTTGAGGTAAAAAGAATTATGGTTGACTCGGTGAGCTCAACCGATATAATTTTCCAAGAAGCATTCGAGCGCATGGAGCTCGACAAAGACTTGCAACCAACCAAGATACCCTTGATTGGCTTTAGCGGAGAGGTAGTCTGGCGCATTGGCCAGGTGAGGGTACCAGTTATAGCAGGCTCGACCCCCAACTTGGTCTGGTTTGATCACGATTTCATTGTAGTCACCACACCCTCCCCTTACAACACCATCCTAGGCTGACCTATTCTGCATGCCCTTCGAGCGATAGTGTCGACCTATCACTTGGCAGTGAAATTCCCTACTACCGAGGGTATTAGAGTTATGCTAGGTGACCAACTAGAGTCACGCAAATTCTACTTAGCAGCTTTGAAGGCCAAGGGCAAAATAACCGTCAATGTTGACCTAGAGCCGCCACTTGAGAACATAGACGAGCGAGCCCGACATATGGAAGACGTTGTCCTAGTGTTAGTCTCAAAGGTCGAGCCAGATAAGACAGTACAGATAGAAGCTTGCCTAACTGAATCAGTATGCTCCAACCTAGTAAGTTTTCTACTCGATAATCTACAAGTTTTTGCTTGATGTCTAGCATAGACCCTAATAATAACTCTTAAACTAAATCTTGACCCCATATTCAGATCAGTCCGATAGAAGAAAAGGAACCTCACCCCATAAAGATGGAAGATAGTAGACAATGAAGTAGGGAAAATACTCACAACAGATTTCATTAGAAATGTCTAATATCTGAGCTGGATTGCAAACCCAGTCCTCGTGAGGAATGCCAACAGCAAGTGGCGCATGTGCGTCGAATATACCGACCTCAACAGGGCTTTCCCGAAGGATAGCTTCCCTTTCACACGAATTGACCGCTTGGTAGATGCGATCTCAGGGTTTGAGCTCTTGAGTTTCATAGATGCATACTCTAGCTACAACCAGATTTCTATGGACCTGGGTGATGAAGAAAAAACTACCTTTGTAGCCGAGATGGGCTTGTACTGTTATAAAGTCATGCCTTTGGTCTAAAAAACACTAGAGCAACTTTCCAATGACTTGTAAACAATATTTTATCAAACTCAATTGGCAATAAAGTGGAGTATTATGTAAACGATATGGTTGTAAAAACCAAGTTTTCCAACTCCCTAGTAGCTGACCTAGAATGTGTTTTCAATGTTTTAAGGAAGTACAACATGAAATTTAATCCGAACAAATGTGTCTTCAGTGTCACGTTAGGCAAGTTCCTCGGATATATAGTTAGCCGACATGGCATCAAGGCCAACCCAGAAAAAAAATCTAGGCAATTTTAGATATGCGACCTCCCAATACCATAAAATAAGTACAAGAGCTAACTGGTTGAAAAGCCACTCTGAACCAATTTATGTCTAGGTCAGTTGGGCGATGTTTACCATTTTTTAAGGCCATAAAAAAGAATCAAGATTTTGAGTGGACCGAAGAGTGTCAGCTCGCCTTTGACGAGCTAAAGAAGTATTTAAGTTCACCACCTTTGTTGACCAAACCCAGGCCTGGAGAAGATCTCAAACTCTACTTCTCCGCGAGTGGCAAGGTAGTCAGCTCGATCCTTATTACAGAAGTAGAAAAAGTACAACGACCTGTATATTATGTAAGTAAGGTGATGCACGTTGTTGAGACCAATTACCTGGACATTGAAAAACTGGACTTCGCCTTAGTGTTAGCAGCCCAAAAGCTAAGACCTTATGTCCAAGCCCACACTATCGTGGTCCTGACCGACCAACCTCTAAGGCAAATCCTATAGAAGCCTGGATCTTAGGGAGACTTACGAAATGGGGCAATCAAACTCAGTGAATACGACATCTGATTTGAGTCGTAACTAGTAATCAAAGCACAGGTCCTAGCAGACTTCATCATCGAATGTACCTTCAGCTCGCCAATCCTTGGAATGGCCGAGCGAGTAACCTCCTCGGAGACACCGACCAGTGCGGCACCTGCCCGGCTCAAGAATCCCCGACTTGCGATGAAGAGCCCTAGATCCTCCATGTGGATGGCTCGTCCAACTAGTGCAGAAGCAGGGCCTCTACGGGCCTAGCGAGGTAAATCTGGAGTACGCCCTTCGGTTCGCGTTCCGAGTTTTGAACAATGAAGCAAAATATGAGGCACTGATAGTCGAGCTATCACTAGCGAAGGAAGTCAGGGCAAAGCATCTCGTGGTGTGCAGCGACTCGCAATTAGTGGTTAACCAAGTGAATGGACAGTATGAGGCTCGGGATCCAACCATGTTGGCATACCTGGCCAAAGTAAGGGATCTCCTGCACAGCTTCCACTCTTGGCATATCCAATAGATTCTGAGGTCAGAGAACCCTGTAGCCAATGCATTCTCAATGTTGGCTAGTGCAATCGACTCCAAAAGAATGACAGTTTATATAGAAGACCTGCTGCACCCGACTATAGAAAAAGTAGCAGAAGAGGTCGTCCCTATGATGACGACAAAACCGAGCTGGATGGATCCTCATTGACTATCTGTGCCATAAGACCCTGCCAAAGGAGCGTAACGTGGTCTGAAGGGTAAAGTGACCAGCAGCTCAGTACATAATCATGGGCGAGCAGCTATATAGGAGATCATTTACCAAATTGCAGATCCTGCCTACTGCTTTACTTCCTTGCACCCCTCAATCCAAGCACAAGTTAATTGTTTTTGTAGCTTCAATGAATGCATTTTGTCATGAGCAACTACAAGCCATTGCTAATATTGGAGTGTGTCCTTGGTCAAGTCCATGAGGAAATACTATATTCACTGTAATCCATTGTACAACCAGTCTACATGTGATAACTAATGCCTCTGCACTCAATTATCAATACCACGGCTTAACTTGGCTACGTCTCTCGATCTCCAACTAAAACTAGCACCTAATAAATTGACCAGAGAAACATAATATCACAGATATATCCACATTAATAATGCATGATTAGGAAAGAGATTAGAACACAATAGCAAGTAGTTTTCAAGTGTATATTTAGTCAATTAGTTAAAGCATCAATGCACTTTATCAGTAGTAATGATAGTTGATGGTGCGCGATCTGGAAGCTCTTAATTGGATGACAGCTTGAACACTGGTTGGCTGGTCGAACTGCAATACAAATGGATCAGAGAACCCGGGGTGGCTAACCCGGCGAGGTCGCTCTGATGCTTAAGTCAGTAATGTGAGTGGCAAACTAGAAATTTGTATGCTAGAAGGCTAGAGAGAAAACAATTGCACATACCTGGGTCTCAGGGGTTGATGCCCTTATATAG